TCTCGGTAAGAATCGATAAGAGAAAGCATCCAACCAGCTCACACGTTTCCGCTCCATCGAAGGACCCCATGGTNCTCAAGTTTTGTTTGTTTAGTTTTTGTTTTTTTTTGGAAAAAAATGTTCAAATTACCCTTAATGTATGACATAACAAACAGAGTTCAACACTGAGTCCATGCCCAGCTAGCACAAAATTTTCTTCATTGACTTTTTCAAGAAGCATGTATAGTCAAATGTAACTAAGAAAAAAATAAAAGTAAAATGATAATTTACAAATATTAATTTTAATAAAATATGATCTAAACCTGAAAGGGTTAATTAAAAGTAATTTTTTATGTAAAGCATAATCCAATCTGAAATGCAACCTTTAAAGTTAGCTTTCTAATGTTTGCCATCAACAGTGAAGCCTTCTTTCAGAACTTTATTCTCCTCATTTAGCCAAACAATGAACTTCTTCACCTTGCTCCTAAGAAAAGTAAAAAAAAAAAAAGTCGAAGAGTAAGTCTACGTTTGAGTTTGGACTATCAATTATCAGTTACCCATTACCTGTGATAGGGAATGATAAAGAAGTTATATCCACAGTATAGTAAAATCAAACTCTACTAACTTTTTCTCAGCAATCGCAATTGGATAAACAGCCAGAGCTAGCACTCTATTAAGAACCACAGAGCCCTTTGCCAGTTGTGATAGCTAAATCAATTGGGACAATTCCAGCAGACACATTTTCTCTCCCTGCAGTACAAACAAACAGTGTTATCATTATCAGCAGCAGCATCCTGTAGTACATGTATGTGCACAAATTGAAAATGGATTTAAATGTTTATCTTAGATTCAGCCATTTAGATGACCCAAAAATTTTCCTTACCTGCAAGAGGTCTTCCAGCTCGGTTTATGAATAAACGAAGTCCTATCGATTTATCCACCTTCTGCAGATCTTTAAGCGGTCGCTTTATATCTGAAAAAGAGACAGGCGCGACCACTGTGTCGGCAACTGTAGCAGGCGTAGATAGTGGCGTCTCCAATCGAAGCGATCCAAGCTGTCTTCAGCTGCCGCGAAAATTCGATCTTCCCGCCATTTCTGAGTCAAACTTGTGAGAATTTAACAATTCCCTCGCCAACCTAAATTGATCTGAAGCAAACACTAGCTATTCAACGAGACTTTTTCGTCGTAATGCTCTTCTAATAATTCTGAAGAGGGCTGAAACAATAACAGTGGCCTTCTTTGGCGACGAACTAAACCACGGTGGGTCGACTTGTCCACAGTTTCCATCGACCAGATCGCGGACGCATACTTCTGCAATGTCCTCAATCACTCCTCATGAACTCTCTTGATTTACAAAACCAATCGTTTGATACAGTACCAAATTTTGCCTGGATCGAGCGACAGTCCGAAAACTCGGCGAAGAGGATATAGCTTCGTATCTCTTTCGCGCCAAATTATTTTGTATTACGCGCGATGAAGCACTTTGTTATATATTAAGTGTAATTAGAGTCGACAACAAAGCATTTCTGGATACATGATCTGCTTTTCATTTGTACAGCGCATCAAGATATACTTAGCACCTTCATCTACCGCAAACTGTGCAGTCATGACAGATCTGTAAGTTTGCTAATTCGATTTTCTTGACTACCCCGGAAATTAGAACCCATACCCAGCTGTGAATTTCAAAGTCGCATAAAGCTCGTCATGATGGTTATCAGGATGGTTGTCCTGGACAACCATCCTGATAGTGTAGTGGTCATCACACCTGACTTAAGTAACAGGGGGACGTGGGTTCAAATCCCGCTCAGGGCAAATTTTCTTTTCAAACATTTATTCTATTTAAGGATGTTTATTTGGGGTGTACAGGGTCAGGGTTTCCCTCGTATACAAAATATATGTATATTTAACAATTATTCCACGAGCGCGCGTTGGATATGAGATGAGGAGGCACGAGGCAACGAGGCACGTAGTGCCGAGTT